CTCTGAGGCGGCCGAGAAACAGCGCCACGAAATGGGCAGAAATGCATTAGGCGGCTTATTGTGCACTGTCTAAAGTACAAAATTCAAAAATTCATTAAAAAAAAAATCTACAGTAAAAACTGCTAAAAATGTGGATTTCGTCAGAGTTCGAGCTCTAGTCTAATGGGACAATGTCAAATTTAACGCACCCTCTGAGGCGGCCGAGAAACAGCGCCACGAAATGGGCAGAAATGCATTAGGCGGCTTATTGTGCACTGTCTAAAGTACAAAATTCAAAAATTCATTAAAAAAAAATTCTACAGTAAAAACTGCTCAAAATGTGGATTTCGTCAGAGTAGGAGCTCTAGTCTAATGGGACAATGTCAAATTTAACGCACCCTCTGAGGCGGCCGAGAAACAGCGCCACGAAATGGGCAGAAATGCATTAGGCGGCTTATTGTGCACTGTCTAAAGTACAAAATTCAAAAATTCATTAAAAAAAAAATCTACAGTAAAAACTGCTAAAAATGTGGATTTCGTCAGAGTTCGAGCTCTAGTCTAATGGGACAATGTCAAATTTAACGCACCCTCTGAGGCGGCCGAGAAACAGCGCCACGAAATGGGCAGAAATGCATTAGGCGGCTTATTGTGCACTGTCTTAAGTGCAAAATTCAAAAATTCATTAAAAAAAAATACTACAGTAAAAACTGCTCAAAATGTGGATTTCGTCAGAGTAGGAGCTTTAGTCTAATGGGACAATGTCAAATTTAACGCACCCTCTGAGGCAGCCGAGAAACAGCGCCGCAGAATGGGCAGAAAATGCATTAGGCAGCTTATTGTGCACTGTAAAAAGCAAAATTCAAAAATTCATTAAAATAAAATTCTACAGTAAAAACTGCTCAAAATTTGGATTTCATTAGAGTAGGAGCTCTAGTCTAATGGGACTTTGTCAAATTTAACGCACCCTCTGAGGCGGCCGAGAAACAGCGCCACGAAATGGGCAGAAAATGTATTAGGCAGCTTATTGTGCACTGTCTAAAGTGCAAAATTTAAAAATTAATTAAACAAAAATTCTACAGTAAAAACTCCTCAAAATGTGGATTTCGTCAGAGTAGGAGCTCTAGTCTAATGGGACTTTGTCAAATTTAACGCACCCTCTGAGGCGGCCGAGAAACAGCGCCACGAAATGGGCAGAAAATGTATTAGGCGGCTTATTGTGCACTGTAAAAAGCAAACTTCAAAAAATTCATTAAAAAAAAAATCTACAGTAAAAACTGCTCAAAATTTGGATTTCGTTAGAGTAGGAGCTCTAGTCTAATGGGACTTTGTCAAATTTAACGCACCCTCTGAGGCGGCCGAGAAACAGCGCCACGAAATGGGCAGAAAATGCATTAGGCAGCTTATTGTGCACTGTCTAAAGTGCAAAATTCAAAAATTCATTAAAAAAACATTCTACAGTAAAAACTGCTCAAAATGTGGATTTCGTCAGAGTAGGAGCTCTAGTCTAATGGGACTTTGTCAAATTTAACGCACCCTCTGAGGCGGCTGAGAAACAGCGCCACGAAATGGGCAGAAAATGCATTAGGCAGCTTATTGTGCACTGTCTAAAGTGCAAAATTCAAAAATTCATTAAAAAAAAATTCTACAGTAAAAACTGCTCAAAATGTGGATTTCGTCAGAGTAGGAGCTCTAGTCTAATGGGACAATGTCAAATTTAACGCACCCTCTGAGGCGGCCGAGAAACAGCGCCACGAAATGGGCAGAAATGCATTAGGCGGCTTATTGTGCACTGTCTAAAGTACAAAATTCAAAAATTCATTAAAAAAAAAATCTACAGTAAAAACTGCTAAAAATGTGGATTTCGTCAGAGTTCGAGCTCTAGTCTAATGGGACAATGTCAAATTTAACGCACCCTCTGAGGCGGCCGAGAAACAGCGCCACGAAATGGGCAGAAATGCATTAGGCGGCTTATTGTGCACTGTCTAAAGTACAAAATTCAAAAATTCATTAAAAAAAAATTCTACAGTAAAAACTGCTCAAAATGTGGATTTCGTCAGAGTAGGAGCTGTAGTCTAATGGGACAATGTCAAATTTAACGCACCCTCTGAGGCGGCCGAGAAACAGCGCCACGAAATGGGCAGAAATGCATTAGGCGGCTTATTGTGCACTGTCTAAAGTACAAAATTCAAAAATTCATTAAAAAAAAAATCTACAGTAAAAACTGCTAAAAATGTGGATTTCGTCAGAGTTCGAGCTCTAGTCTAATGGGACAATGTCAAATTTAACGCACCCTCTGAGGCGGCCGAGAAACAGCGCCACGAAATGGGCAGAAATGCATTAGGCGGCTTATTGTGCACTGTCTAAAGTACAAAATTCAAAAATTCATTAAAAAAAAATTCTACAGTAAAAACTGCTAAAAATGTGGATTTCGTCAGAGTTCGAGCTCTAGTCTAATGGGACAATGTCAAATTTAACGCACCCTCTGAGGCAGCCGAGAAACAGCGCCGCAGAATGGGCAGAAAATGCATTAGGCAGCTTATTGTGCACTGTAAAAAGCAAAATTCAAAAATTCATTAAAATAAAATTCTACAGTAAAAACTGCTCAAAATTTGGATTTCGTTAGAGTAGGAGCTCTAGTCTAATGGGACTTTGTCAAATTTAACGCACCCTCTGAGGCGGCCGAGAAACAGCGCCACGAAATGGGCAGAAAATGCATTAGGTAGCTTATTGTGCACTGTCTAAAGTGCTAAATTTAAAAATTAATTAAACAAAAATTCTACAGTAAAAACTCCTCAAAATGTGGATTTCGTCCGAGTAGGAGCTCTAGTCTAATGGGACTTTGTCAAATTTAACGCACCCTCTGAGGCGGCCGAGAAACAGCGCCACGAAATGGGCAGAAAATGCATTAGGCAGCTTTTTGTGCACTGTCTAAAGTGCAAAATTAAAAAATTCATTAAAAAAAAATTCTACAGTAAAAACTGCTCAAAATGTGGATTTCGTCAGAGTAGGAGCTCTAGTCTAATGGGACAATGTCAAATTTAACGCACCCTCTGAGGCGGCCGAGAAACAGCGCCGCAGAATGGGCAGAAAATGCATTAGGCGGCTTATTGTGCACTGTCTAAAGTGCAAAATTAAAAAATTCCATCAAATACAGCTAAGATATAGAGCCCCCAATTGAGCCAACAATGCAATGGCTTTTTATACAGTAAAACGTGAAATTGTGCATGATTATATTCAAGCAGATACAGGGTAAAACATCAGTAAAACCAAATAGGCCAACAATGTGATAACTCTTCTGTATTTTGTCAGATTAGGTCCATATCTTTCTAATGTACAGTAACCATGCAATGGCACTTTCAAGTCAATGCAATTGAATTTAATTCATACAGTCATTTGTATAACCCTTTTCACAATACATATAATTTCAAGGCAGCTTTACAGAAAATGCAGGTTTCTATGTTACAAAACCACAATAGGATTTAATGAGATGATATCAGAAAGTACAGTTATAAGATACCACAAATTATAGTATTTACAAATATCATATATGCATCTAAGCAAAATTAATGTGTTAAAGCAATTATAAATAGATCATTTTGTATAATCATTCATGTTTGATGTTCTGGAGTCCTTGCAAGGGTAGGTTTCATCTATTCAAATGTGCTGGGTCATCTGAAGTCTTCATAAGAGGCTGGATCCAAGCTGGAGCATAATCTCAGTACCTTGTGAAATTCTAATTTGTAATAATAATAATAATAATTTAAAAAAAACATGTATTGAATACATTCAAATGATGTTATTTGCAATAATTAAAGAATAATGTAGGCCTAATTATATTTTAACAGACATTTATGTGTTATTATTATTTATTTACCTTTCAAAATACTTTATTATTCTTTTCTGGAAAAATATAAACAATACAAACAGGGTCTCTAATAAGTGTGAATAAGTGAAAAACCACACGGTCCCTAAATTGAGCTGATGACATACAATAATTAAAGAATAATGTAGCCTAATTATATTTATGTGCTTTAATATTTGTACAGTCCATTTTCGCTGATATATCAGTGTTATTTGCTTTTAAACATTTTTTATTATCATTTTATTCGGAATATAGACCCAAAAGTAACACAATCCCTTTAAAAACGCGAAAAAGAGAAAACCGCACGGTCCCTAAGTTGAGCGTCAATAAGAAGCCAGCAAACGCGGAAGTTCGCGTCATTTAAGGTGGAACGGATAGCGTCAATAAGAAGCTGCGAATAAGAAGCTGGATTCAGCCTCGTGATTTTCCAACTGATCTTCAAACCAAAAGCATGCTACTTTTATGAGGTTTGCAAACTTCCCTAGAGTTGTTGGAGGCGTTGATGGAACTCATGTTCGCATCATTGCTCTAACTATAAATGAGGAAACATAGGCTATATCAATAGAAAAGGATTACGTAGCATCAACACTAATTTGTGATAATTGTGCACAATGAAATCGATTTTAATAATAATAATAAATTAACAATTACCATCGCACACCTGCAGGTCATAGCCTATGCGTAGGATACCAAAAAAAAGTAAAAAATCTAAAAAAAAAAAAAACAATAAACCAGCACACTAATACTTGCAAAAAAGTATCAAGGAATACATTATATTAGCATATATATATATATATATATCACCGCAACACCAGGTTGCGGACTTTTGGGGCCAGGGCTTTCTCTGCAATTGCTCCTATACTTTGGAACAATCTACCATTCCACGTCCGCTCTGCCCCATCCCTGCCCATGTTCAAAATGCACCTTAAAACATTTCTTTTCACAAAGTCTTTTGACCCCTAACTCCTCTCCCAGCCCCCTATATAAATTATGAAAGTTAACCCCATGATTAATTCTGCAGAAGACATTATGAATATGATGGCAAGGCAACAGGATAGTATGCCTATAGGCATTGGGCAACGCAGCAGTTAAGACTTTTATTTTGTCACCCTACATGCCGGATGTTGTATAATGTAATGCCAATGCTGATGATGAGTCTTCGCAGTTTCAGCGAGGCTAGTTGAACGGAAGAGGACACCGGTGGAGGACATTACATGTAACTGCAAATCAATAAACTCACGTTGTCCAAAAGAGTTTGTCATCAGCTAATCGGAAATGTTTTCTCTTTCTACTTCCCTACAGCCACAGGTATCAAATCACGTTTATTCAGGACAGCTCGTTTCATAACTTTCCTTGTACGCAGGCTAGCTGGTTAGCTAGCACTTACATCAGAACAGTGTGTCTGTAATCTCAAGATTTGAGAGAATAGCTTTTGAGCATCTCGCTGAAAAGTCAACGTCATGTCTCATATTATTAGTTCAGTTATTATTGCTGTAAGTTAGCTGACTTGATTACAGTAAGTTACAGTGTTATTGATAGGTCGTGTTTATTATTGGTTGTATAATCATAATATTACAGCACAAGAGTATTTTTATAATGAAAAGTCATGAATATTTAATCCACCACAATGTCTCAGATGAGTTAAATAGTTTATTATTATGTTTAATAGATTCAATTGTGGAAATAATGTTTTCATAACCGACTTAAACGTAAATAACATCTTGCTTAGAATAATATCATACACACAGTTATATATATAGTTCTTTATATTAATACCGTTTTATAGGAAAAGACTCACAATATTGTTCACAAATGATGTTTCCCCCACCCACATTTCTCCAATATGTTTTATATTTTACATTTCAATCCACTCAGTTCTACTGATGCTGTTTCCTTGATAAACAAGTACAGTAATTTTTTATAAAACTTTTATTAGGGGCAAAACTGTAGGTGAAATCAGGGTTAATATAAATATAAATGTTAGTTGAACAATTTAAACTAAATACAAATCAGAAATGTTCCTTTGGCAATAAACAGAAATACATTTAAGTTGAAGTAGGCCTACTAAAGTTATCAACTGGAAATAAATCAAATTAAGCTAAAACTGAAATTTAAATAAATTAAACCTAAATAGCAATACTTTAAATAAAATGACAAAAGCACATAACAAAATTAAACTAAAATATATAACTAAAAGCTCATTCAAAATATTAATAAAATCATAATGAAGCTAAAAAAAAATAACACTGGTTTAAATCGTCATAGGTGTATTATGTATCATAGAATTTCATATTTTGAGATTGAAACTTTATCCTGGTCCGAGTCGAGGGTAAATCTATCAAATCTAATCTTTTAAACGGCATCTGGAAAGCATATATAAAAAAAAGGATGTTAAAGGTGTTCAGGACAGTTTTGATGTTACCCTAACAAGCATAAATAATGTTTTTAATAAAATATTTATTTCTCAGGACGTTAAAAAAGAAAAACCTTGGTTTTGTTGTGTTTTTGTCAGGTAACAGTCCAGCTGAGTCACCTCATCAACGCTCTGCACTCTCTGACGGGTTCAGTGTGCAGCAACACTTCATTCAAGCACAAACACAGAGAGAACAGCCCAGAACAAGAGCTGAACAGCACAGAGGTGATTACATTTAACATCATTTATATATATATACTGTACACATGTAGGTTATTGGTGTTTTTTCCCCTCTGTCCCTTCCAATCATTTGTTTTTTTATGGAAGTGTGCTCATAAAACGGATCAGTTGAACGTTATCAGCTTTTAAATGAAGTATGCTGTTCTGAAGCTTAACTGTTTCTCCTCTTTAAATTGTGCACGTGTTGTGTTGTGCTGGCAAGCCGTCACTGACGCTCAGGGATTTAGGTCTGACAGATCTAGGAGTCGGTCAGCTAGACGAGCTGGTGGAGAAGCTCCTGCCCCGTGTTTCTCAGCAGGACTCGCCATCACAGCTGAGGAGCGAGACAAACATCTGGAGGACTTCCCATCTCTCCTCAGATTCTTTCTTTCACAACAAACATGGTGAGACACTTCGCTTTCGTGAAACCTGAACCAAAGACGTAAATCGTAAGCTTTGTATTGATTTTGTAATCTTGTTTTTTATTATCAATTTCATATGGGAGAACTTGCTGTATGTTTCTTTTGTATCACAATAGTTCATTGTTGGAGCTGTAATTGAAACCTTTGAATACTTATTTATTTGGTTGTTCAGCTTTCTCACGATGAATCTCTTATCTATGGAAGCTTGTTTCCGTCACAGAATAAAACATTTGAAAAGATTGCGACTTTTTCTCTCACAGTTGCGAGTTTACATCTCGCAATTCTGATTTTATTTCTTAGACTTGCGAGATATGAAATCAGAATTGTGTGATCATATAACGTCGCAATTGTGAGAGAAAAAGTCAAATTCTAAGTAAAAAAAATACTTTATAACACATAGGGGTGGAACGGTACACAGAAGTCACGGTTCGGTTCATACCTCGGTTCAGACATCACGGTTCGGTACGATTTCGGTACAAGGGAGTGAAAAGCAAAGCAAAAATGCAGAAGGCATTTTTATAAATGTCTTAAGCCTTGTATTTTTTTTAAATAAGTTTTATTAATAAAGGCATAGAACCAGTTTATTTGTAGTGCACTGACAGTAGTTTTATATAATTAGTTTATTAATTAAATTATTAAAAAGACGAAAAGACCTTGAGATATGTTTGGTAATTGTACCTGAATGAATTTAAAATTAATTTGCTATTTCAGATCAAGATATTTGTTTTCCTTCATTTTAATTAACTAACTTTATTCTCATCTGAATTATAAATAATTGATTTCCGTATAAAATAATACTACCATAAAAACTTTTGTTAACAGGTGTAGGTTACAGTTTGACAAGAGTTTAGAGTGTGACAAAAGCACAATGTTGTGTTTTATTGCGAGTGTACACAAATATAAGTAAACAATTTGCAGTTTTAATGATGTCCTGTATGAAAAAAATGACGGAGTATGTTTTTACGTTTCCACTGTTCGATAGCCCGTGCCTCTCTCACACACACTCACACACACACACACTGTTCATCGCGCGATTCGCGCCCGCGCCTCTCTCTCTCGCGCGCGCGAACACACACACACACACCGCGCCTCTCTCTCTCGCACGCGCGCGCACACACACACACACACACACACTGTTCGATCGCGCCTCTCTCTCTCTCGCACACACACACACTGTTCATCGCGCCTCTCTCTCTCTCTCTCTCTCTCTCTCTCTCTCTCTCTCTCTCTCTCTCTCTCTCTCTCTCTCTCTCTCTCTCTCTCTCTCTCTCTCTCTCTCTCTCTCTCTCTCTCTCGCGCACACAGACACACACACACACTCCTGCATTGCAATCTTGATCGCAGCCTGTTCATTGCTGCGTTCACAGTCACACCAAAAGCGAATAGAGCGAAATTCATCGCTATTTAAGAGGTTTTTTTTATTTGTACCGTGTATTCTGCGTGCAAATTCGTGCACCGAACCGTGACGCCCGTACCGTCTCGGTTCAATACGAATACATGTACCGTTCCACCCCTAATAACACACAATCGTGACTTTATATCATGCAATTCTGACTTTATATCTCGCAATTGCGTGTTATAAAGTCAGAATTGCGAGAACATGCAATTCTGAGAAAAAAAAGTTCAAATTGCGAGTTTATTTCTCTAAATATAGGAAATGATTCATATACTCTATAACACACAATTGTGACTTTATATCACGCAATTCTGACCTTATAACACACAATTGCGACCTTATATCACGTAATTCTGACTTGTAATCTCGCAATTGTGAGAAAAAAAGTCGCAATAACCTTTTTAATGTTTTATTCCGTGGTGGAAACAAGCTTCCATACTCATCTGATGTATTAACAGGTTAATTTCTTCTTTTATTCAGGGTTTTCCAGAATGGGTGGTGTTACTCCTGTCTTTTCCAGGCAAAACAAGTCACCTCTCCAAACACTATGTACAGATCTCCAATATTTGCCATGTAATGTGTACAGTTTATTATTCAGTTGTCACAACAGGCAGCATCATTTTAAAATTATAATATGTGTTGGCCGCTTATGTTCATCAAATTGTAATTGTGTTTTTCAGTGTTGGTCCAAAATCGAGGCTTTAAAACTCTGAAGTCCAAAACACGGCGTCTACAGGGAGGCTTAGATGGTTCAGCGGAGCCGGAGGGATTTACACCATCGTTTATGAAGGTCACCCACACAGTGCTTCCTTTTGAATGTTATTAGCCTAATGTGTTTATTTCCATGTAGAGATGCACCCAAAAAATTACATTTTCATGATGTTCTCTCCCTGTTATCCTTCCAAAAATTTTTAGTTTTTCTTCTGTGGGACTTTGATCAAAATATTTCAACTACATGACCACATGAGAGTCATTCCGGGAAGAAACCTAGAAGTCGTAACTCCCTTAAAGGGATAGTTCACCCAAATATGAAATTTCTGTCATTAATTATTGTCGTTCCTAACCCTTAAGACACAAACACATATGAAGATATTTTTTATTAAATCAAAAATAATGACCACCCATAGACTGCAACTTTCAAGGCCCAGAAAGGTAGTAAAGACTACCTAAAATAGTCCATGTGACTACAGTGGTTCAAATGTAATGTTATGAAGCAACGAGAAATTTTTTTGTTTGCGACCCCACCCTAAAAAAACGACTTTATTCAACAATTTCTTCTCTTCTGTGTCAGAGCTCCTACACTATTCACGGAGTAATAGTTATTCAAGTTTTTTTGCGCACAAAAAGTATTCTCGTCGCTTCATAACATTAAGGTTGAGACACATGGACTATTTTAACGATGTCTTTACTACCTTTCTGGGCCTTGAAAGTTGCAATGACGTTGCTGCCTATGGAGGGGTCAGACACCTCAGATTTCATAAAAAAAATATCTTAATTTGTTTTCTGAAAATGAACGAAGGTCTTACAGGGTTGGAACGACATGAGGGTGAGTAATTAATGACAGAATTTTCCTTTTTGGGTGAACTAACCCTTTAAACAGTGTAAAGAAAAACAACATTTACATGATGTTTCAGAACTGTGCTTTTTGCACAATCCCTGGAATAAGCCATTTTCTTAAACGCATGTAACCATATTTAAAAGCCCTCCTTTTGATTGCCACAGCAGAAATTAAGACATAGCCTACAGGTTTTGGAACGGCATGAGGCCGAGTAAATTATGACACTTTTGGTTGTTTTGCTTGATACCAAATATAATGCTACTTTATTTACTCTGCATTGTAAATGTATATTTGCTAAAGTTTATATTGGTGTTACAATGTTATTTATATTCTTGTCCATTAGGGTTTCCTCACACGAGACAAAGGGCCAGATGTTGAAACTCTGGACAAGCTCCTTAAAAACAAAAATATCCCAGATGGGCAACATGATGTTTTTAAGACTGGTTTTGCTGAGGGCTTCCTTAAAGCTCAGGCCCTAACACAGAGAACACAAGGCACGTCGTCTTTGATCAATAACAAATGATGAATTGTGAATGAATGATATACGGTTTTCAACTTGATATGGGTGTTTCCTTTCTCGTTATTTATTGTATAAAAAACACATGTCATCATCTTCAATAGAGTCACTAAGGAGGATGCGACTGATACTATTGGTGCTTTTGGTGTTGGGCTTGTATGGACTCTCAAAAACACCTTTCTTATCAGGTAAATGTTCCAAAGAAACTTCTGCATGTCTGATTTGCCTCTCTAACTAAAGGCTGAAATACACTACACAACAGATTTGTGTACTGCACGTCAATTTTGGGCAGTCAGATTTGACAGATTTCGCAGAAAATCTAATAGTGTATGATAGGTAAAAACTGGTAAAAAACAAACAAACTGAGTTTGTTGTTTTGGGAATGGATTGAAAGTCTGCTATTGTTGGATCTTGAGTCATTTAGGACACGATGTCCAGTTTTTCTCTGTAACCATTTTGCAAAGTCGACAAGTGTATGACATGGTGTTCAGATTTTAAGTCATGTTGTGTATTCCAGCCTTAAAATTGAGTATCTGCTTACATCAATTCTGGTTGAGAATTAGTTTAGTCTTGCATCAATTCTGGGTCCAAATGCTCTATATCAGAGATGCCAACATAAACAACAAATGGTGCCAATATACACTCAAGTGTGCTGTGCTGTGAATCTACCAAAAAAAATCTTTATCTCCATATCAAAATCTCAGATGGCCAGACAGTGATTCATCTTTTATGAATCGTTAAAATAGTGGTGTCCAGGACATCATGACCCCGGAGACTGTAGAGTACAAGCTTAGCTAAAATGTTGCTTTAAATAAATAAATAGTGCTCATTGACGACTCTTGAGATAGTGCTCTCTATTGAAATGGAGTGGAGGCTTGGACCCGGAAAACGCATTCGATATGTCGTGGCTTAGCAAGCAAATATGTTATGTCCCATGTGCCAAGTTTGCCAATTGTTTGAATGTAAAATCCGAATCATTTGAGTGGTTTCAAGTAGAGCCGCACGATTAACTTAAAAGATTGCAATCTCGATTCAAACACCCAACAACTATACAGCTGTGTCTAATAAACCTGTATCGAATCAATTACATTGTTACACCAGTAGGCGGTGACAAGTGACTGTTAAAACATGTTTTTGTCATTGAGACATTGAATCATTCATTCAAGAGATTTGTTCAAAAACGCTGATTTATCCAGTAATGAAACAAGTGAAGTCTTTTTGAGTGAGTCATTGAATCATTCATTCAAGAGATTTGTTCAAAAACGCTGATTTATCCAGTAATGAAACAAGTGAAGTCTTTTTGAGTGAGTCATTGAATCATTCATTCAAGAGATTTGTTCAAAAACGCTGATTTATCCAGTAATGAAACAAGTGAAGTCTTTTTGAGTGAGTCATTGAATCATTCATTCAAGAGATTTGTTCAAAAACGCTGATTCATCCAGTAATGAAACAAGTGAAGTCTTTTCGAGTGAGTCATTGAATCATTCATTCAAGAGATTTGTTCAAAAACACTGATTTATCCAGTAATGGAACAAGTGAAGTCTTTTTGAGTGAGTCATTGAATCATTCATTCAAGAGATTTGTTCAAAAACGCTGATTCATCCAGTAATGAAACAAGTGAAGTCTTTTTGAGTGAGTCATTGAATCATTCATTCAAACCGATTTTTGTACATTTTTAAATAGACTTCAGCAATTGACATTTTGTCAGAACGTTATTTTGTTTAGTTGTCTATTCAGAATCGTGATCTCTGTTTGAAACTAGAAAATCATGATTCTCAATGTATCCAGAATCGTGCTGCTCTAGTTTAAAGTTTTGGCTTGGATTGAAAATCGTTAGTAATGCTTACTTAGCTGGCTTGCCCCTAGTGCTTGGTGTGTGTGTGTGTTTGGAGTGTGAACTATAATGTAACCATTCCGGACAGTGCGATTCCGAACCACATCAGGCCTGGACTCCGCTGTGGACCCTGTCCAGATGAAGAACGTCACCTTCGAGCATGTGAAGGGTGCGGAGGAGGCCAAGAACGAGCTGCAGGAGGTGGTGGAGTTTCTCCGCAACCCTCAGAAGTTCACCGTTTTGGGAGGAAAGCTGCCTAAAGGCGAGAACACACACTTGACAAATGGCTCCAAACCAGAACCATTTAAATAAATAGTTCTATTGAAATTATACCATTGTTTACTCACCAAACCTGTACATTTTTGACACATTTTTACACAGTTATCCACAAGTAAAATCAAATGTTTAATTCTGAAGCAAAATTCCACACTGATTCTATTTGGCAGCTTTAGGTTTCCTACCACATTAACTTGTGTGTTTTTCTTCCAGGAATCTTGTTGGTCGGGCCGCCAGGCACAGGAAAGACCCTGTTGGCCCGTGCCGTAGCTGGCGAGGCAGATGTGCCATTCTACTACGCATCTGGCTCCGAGTTTGATGAGATGTTTGTTGGGGTTGGTGCCAGTCGTATCAGAAACCTCTTCAGTGAGTACATAGTGCCACTCTAAATCACAATTCCTGCACAGGATTGTTTATAGATCATATAGGCCATACTATGTGCCTGATTCTGAGTTCTGTGAATGTAGCCAAAAGCGCCCCCTTATGAATGATTGTATGACTGCTACAACTGTTAAAGCAGTTCTCCTGCATTTGTCCTCCAGGGGAAGCTAAAGCTAACGCTCCTTGCGTTATCTTCATTGATGAGTTGGATAGTGTTGGAGGAAAGAGGATTGAGTCTCCCATGCACCCCTATTCTAGACAGACAATCAATCAGCTTCTAGCAGAGATGGATGGGTGAGCCATGCAACCTAAAAAACGTGTGACTGCGTCCCAGTGGAAAGTTTGTGACATGCCTTTACTAACCTTTGGTGTTTAACGTCTGCAGGTTTAAGCCAAATGAAGGCGTCATCATAATCGGAGCAACAAACTTCCCTGAAGCTTTGGATACGTATGTAGATTTCTTTTCAAACATCTAAATGGTTTTCGATACATAATAAGATATGAGGAGCTCTTTTCCAAAACGCGATAAATCCATTTCAATAGTTTTCAGGAAAATATTTTTTTTTTCCTAGACCCACACATTTTGTGAATATTCAATTTAGCCTGTTAAAATGTTGTTGTTTTTCCCCTCAGTCTGAACATGTTGAACAATGATTATTAAATCAAACAACAATATTGTTGATGATAAATTAAAAGTAAAAATTTTTTTTTTTCAAAACGCTATAAATCCACAAAAGAAAAATCCCAAAATGGATGATTTTGGCCACTTAATTAAGTTTTGTTTTGTAGAAAGCCTTTCTTTAAAGTGAATTTCGTTTTGTATAAATTGTATCTTAATTTTAATAATTTTTTCATCAACCAATTGCCTGGATTTAATAAATAAGAAGCAAATAGACAATATAATCATGACATGGAGGCGCCGTCTCATCATAAATTAACCGAAATTCAGCGTATGCCTCACAGAGTCATGAGAAATATATCTATATAGAAAGCTTGAAATGTCTTTAAACGAAACAATTAAAAACGAAAATAAATAGCATACTCTCTGATTATGTAATCCATTACATGCATTTCTCTCTAGGCGCGTTCACTACAGAGATGCTGATCGTCAATTTCATCTTTGCAGACACTGACACACAGAAAACAGTTGATTAATAAAAATAAAATAAAAATTTCGATTTTCGAACGATATTCGACTTTTGCTCCTTGATTGTCGAATGCCATTTTTGGCAGAAATTATAAACAGAAACCTTTGGCAGCAGCATCTACCCCAGGTGTAGGTCTCACTGGCTCATCAAGGCCATCAAAAGTGTTATCATCGTTTAAAGCACTCATTTTGAGGAATGAATGAACATAAACAAACCTCTGTTCAGCGCGCCGATGTTGGATTGCGTAGAACGCTCACTGAATTCTGATTTGTCGAGAGAGGATTTATCGCGTTTAGGCTAAAAATAGGTTTGGCGCTTATCGCGGTTTGGAAAAGAACTGCATCTTGCAGTACATTTTAAACAAGGAAATATAGCGATTTGGCATGAAACATTGATGGAGCAGTGAATAGGTTCAGAACACAGCAAAATGACATGACAAACTAATTTTTTTTTAAATGGCGTTTATCGCGTTTTGGAAAAGAGCTCCTCCTATACAGTTTGTTGTTGTTTTTTCATATAATGTTGCTGATTGGTCAGAAGACCTGTTTGATACATTATTAGCTAACTGTGTGATTTGAATGTGTACTGTACATTTCTGAAACGCATAACTTGGACACCTCTGATAACAGATCACTCTGAATTGTAATGTAGACATGCATTTATTGTGAAAAGTGCTATACAAATCAATGTGAATTGAATTGAATCTGAATGCTGTCTTGTTCCCCAGTGCTCTGATCCGGCCGGGCCGTTTCGATATGCAGGTCACCGTCCCCAGACCAGATGTGAAGGGCCGCACTGAGATCCTCAAGTGGTACCTTAAAAAAATTAAAGTAGACTCTGGTGAGTGGCATGTCTAATACTCATTTCTTACACATACAAGATTCTAAACTGTTAATGTTGTTCGGTAAAAAAAAAAGGTAATAATACAGCAAGTAAAGTAGGATTATTGTCTTTTCCGGACATTAGCTGTGGAGGCAGAGGTCATTGCTAGAGGAACGGTGGGGTTCTCCGGTGCCGAGCTGGAGAATCTTGTAAATCAAGCTGCACTCCGGGCCGCTGTGGACGGGAAGGACATGGTGACCATGAAGGAGCTGGAGTTTGCTAAGGACAAAATCCTGATGGGTAAGTGCCTCTAACTCATTTTGCATGATAAAGTAAACTTAGCTGAAGATGAATGAATACCTTGAGTTGTCCGTTCACTCGCTCCCTCCTCAGGCCCCGAACGCAAGAGTGCAGAGATCGATCAGAGGAATAAAGAAATTACAGCGTACCACGAGTCAGGACATGCTATTATTGCATACTACACCAAAGGTGCCATGCCCATAAATAAAGCCACCATTATGCCGAGAGGCCCCACTTTGGGTCACGTGAGTACATGCTTATTCGTCATCAGAATCCAAAGCTTGAGAGGCCTTGTGTGTGTAATGGGACGTCTCAGTCGCGAGTGTTCCTCGATTTAGGTCCAGTTTTTCCTCTTCTCTGTAGGTGTCCATGCTTCCAGAGAGTGACCGCTGGAGTGAAACTCGTGCGCAGCTTCTGGCTCAGATGGACGTCAGCATGGGCGGCCGAGTGGCCGAGGAGCTCATTTTCGGCAGTGAAAATATCACTACTGGTAGGTTGCAGTACTGTTTGCTCTGGTATTGCGGTGTAATTCAATTATTGATTACATTTGAGTGACCCGGCTGTAAGTACATGGAATTTTTATTGTACTTCATATTATGCAAATACGTAAGAGTAGAGTAGTAAACAAGCCAAAATTATGCTCGTCACTTATTTCTGTTTGTTTTATCGGTGTTATGTTTTGTTGTTTTCACATAGGAGCATCAAGTGATTTTGACAGCGCTACAAAAATAGCAAAAATGATGGTGACCAGATTTGGAATGAGTGAAAAGGTTTGTCATATTTATCTGATCATCTCTAGGTGCTGAAATATGGTTTCAGCCTCAAGCTAGACTTTGCATGTATAGTAATAAACGATAAAAGGTGCAGAAATTTTGTACAACTGGTCGTACAGTCCAGAGTTGTTCTTTTTAATTGACCGTTCGCAGGCCCCTCCCCCAAAACGGCTATTGTCCAATCACACATCATAGCAACCGTTACTATGTGAGCAGGTCCGTCAAACATTGACTCCAAGCAAGATGGTGAAGCGGTGCGCCCACGGCGTTTGTAAATCGGACACTAGGTACCCCGAGAGATTGTCTGGAGGAGTTGTGTTCTTTCCGTTTCAAAAGCCAAAAACACAACGTGCGCAGTCCCCACAATGGATAAAAACAGTGTGGACGGCCCCACTCCCAGTTAAATGTGTCGAACATGGTTAACTTGCGTGCAGCGTGCTTGAGACTGAGACAATGAGATTAGTCAAAGACACATGGAGAAAGCAGATCAAGAGGATCCACAAAGGAAGAACGTTTTCTAAAGTGTTGTTGTTAACATGATATTTCCGGGGCAGCAGTCACTAGCAGTGCAGGCAGCACCTGTAGACTACAGCTTTTAGACTAACGTTAGAGGAGTGCACGTTCGCAACGGGGAACGCATGAAGCTTACTTGACAACATCAGTTCATATCAATATCGTAACGAAAACAAATAATGTATGGTTATCTGCATCTTTCCGTCTATTATGTATAGTTACTTTTTAAACACGAAAATGGCATTCAGCATGACACGCAAGCGGTTGCCGTGGTAATGAACAACCTGCTTGTTAAAGCGAATGAATAATCCTGTATCTGAAGCAAAATTACTAAATATGCAGCGCGAGTTATATATTTCTAACTCCAAACAATTAGCCACTGAAACAGCTTATAAAATCTTCTTCAAGGCTGTGCTGGTTGCATTTGAGGTAACGTTACAGGTCATGGGGTTTCTCAGATTTCGCTTGAGACCGGTGTGGTGCCGAATTCTGACCCCCGCCAAATTAATACCCCCCTAGTATGGTAGGTTTAGGATTAGTTGTGGGGGAGGGGTTAGGATTAGGGGTGGGGTTAGGATTAGGCAATCAGGTACTGATTTCAACGAGGGGGGTAATACTTTGGCAGGGAGTCGAAATTCGGCACAACACCGGTTTGAGAGTAGTAGTCGTGTCTCCTTCATTGCGTATTTTTATATTTTGAATATATCCCTCCACTGCATACTGTAACCCCTTTTGCCTCGATCTGGAGGATATCGCGGAGGTATTGCTCCAAAAAAGGTCACTGACGCACCTCTTCCCGTCATGGCAATCTGTGGCGCTGGTCGTGTTTGACCATTTGTTTTACGGGCGTAGCAACAATAACTAGGGGGCGTGGCTTTTGCGAACGGTCAATTGTTAGCATTTGTCATTAAATCATTCATTCGTTTCAGTCAGTGATTTGTTCAATCAAACTGATTTTTTTATAATTAATTTAAATTAATATATAATAATATAGTTAAAAAAAAAACATTATTTTAAATCGACTGTAGCAATTGATATTTTGTCAGAACCTCTAGTAAATTACGTTATCTTGTTTAATTATCCGTTCAGAATCGTGATCTCCATTTTTAAACCAAAAAAAATCCTCAATTTATCCAGAATCGTGCAGCTCTAGTGTATATTGTAAACTGTAGTATTTCTATATAATACTGTAACGATTGAAAGCACCACCAAATTGTCTGTTTTACCCATTTTTGTGTATTTTGCTGGGTGCTTTATAATTATAATTAGCTTTTATATTGGCACTGCACTAAAACTAGTTAAAATAGTATCTGCAATTGCATAAAATAGAATAAAATAGTTGTGATTAATCTTACGATTTCCCACCAGTCTTAGTAAAACAAAGTGAAATAGTAAAAATTTGTTATAGAATATTATTTACATTCTTGTTTTTTTGTGTGTCATGTCTAGCTTAGAAACATGTTAACGTACTTCTTGTTGGACTTCTCACGTATGTATTCACATCCCGTTCTCATCCCAAGGCGTCATATACTGACGCTTTTGCCAACGCCTCTATATCTAACGCACATGGCACCCTAGCGTCAATATGAGACGCAGATATATGGCGCCTCCTAGTGGTCTAATCCTAACACTACCCCAGACCTAAACCTACCCATAACCGAAGCGTGTTATATTGACGCTAAAGGGTGCCATGTGCGTCGGATGTAGCGTCAGTATATGACGCTTTGGGATGAGAATGCGTTGGTATTCACCAGATGTTGTATAGGTCATACGAGTTTGACCCATGCTTTTTTGCTTAAAGGTGAAGAGCCAACTTTATGCATGTTTTGTAAGATTCCCCTCTCTGTTAAACATATTTTATTGGACTGTCCTGGGTTTAATACAAGTAGAATGCTCTTTCATGAAGTTATTTCACTTAAGGACGTAAGATTATGCCTGAAAAGCTATTGGATTTTTTTTTAATCAAATGTTAATAAAATAAAAAGGTAACACTTTACTTGAAGGGGTGTGCATAAGACTGACATGACACCTTCATAATCATGACATGACACATGTCATGAATATGAAGGAGGTTTTATGCATGTTTATGACAACTGTCATTAACGCTTAAGTATGACATTTTTAATGCAAATATGACATTGTTTGAGATGTCTTTGTTATGACACCTTGACATAAACCAATACATCATAACCTGTCAGTGTCTTTGTCATGACAACTTGACATTACTAAGACAACACAACCTGTCATAAACATGACATAGCAGATTAATTATCAAACTTCAGAAACCACTTAGCTTTATGGGTTAACATTACATTAAACTGTCATGTGTTTGGTTTTGACATTGGCTGTCATGAAGCCATTATAACCGTTTAATGACAAATTCAATTTGTACCACTGTAGTTGAGGTCACGAAAAATATTCATGACACAGTTATAATGGCCTTATGACAGCCAGTGTCAAAACCAACCACATGACAGTTTAACTTAATTTAATGTCAAGTTGTCATGACAAAGACACTGACAGGTTATGATGTTATGGTTTATGTCAGGGTGTCATAACAAAGACATCTTAAAGAATGTCATATTTGCATTCAAAATGTCATTATTGAGCGAAAGACACTTAATGACAGTTGTCATAAACATGCATAAACCCTACTTCATATTCATGACATATGTCATGTCATGGTTATGAAGGTGTCATGTCAGTCTTATGTACACCCCTTCAAGTAAAGTGTTACCAATAAGAAAAATGTGTTTGTTTGCTTGGTTTTATTGTATTTATATGATATTTGTATTTTTGTAATTACATTTTTTGCAATGAAAATAGCCTTAGATGCTGACATGGCATAAAATAAAACAATCTTTATCTATCTTCTCTTGTGCAATAGTTGGGTGTCATGACATACGCTGACCTCACCAAGCAGAGCCCAGAAACGCAGGCCGCCATTGAACAGGAAGTCAGGATACTTCTGAGGGTAAACTCTGTTCTGATCTAACTCTGTCCTCTCCACTAACAAATCAGTAATGCAATATTTGATTCACACACTACCAGAGGATTTGACTCTCATATTCGTTTGCTTGCTTCTAGGATTCCTACGAGCGAGCTAAAGTGCTTTTAAAGTCCCGCGCTAAAGAGCACAGAAATCTGGCCGAGGCTTTACTGCGGTATGAGACGTTGGATGCCAAAGAGATCCGGTTGGTCTTGGAGGGAAAGGCATTAGACCCTCACGGCAGATGAAGGTCACCGGGACCGTCGGGCAACGGGGGAACGGACAATGGAACCCTAAAAGACATAAATGTACATATGCAACCAAGAGCTTGGTAGGCCTACTCTCCCCATTGCTAAAATTGTATTGTTTTTTTTTTCTCTCTGAAATTAGTTTCAATTTTACATGCTAATAAGGAAGGTGTAACACAAACACCTCTATGGGATTTTTCTTTCCGAAGAAATTGATCTTCAATTCAACTCATTTAGTATCTATTTCAGTTTGTTTTCTGTATTTCTATTGAAGCAGAAGCTCATTTTGAATAAATCCTTAAGCTGTAAGTGATAGTTCGGTTTACTTTAAAATCAGGAACAATCGCTGTCTACCATTTTTGACCTAGTTGTCTGAGCCAGACTAAGTATGTGTTTCATGGTGGCCTTCGAGAAATGTAAGGGAATGTGTTTTCTCACTGAGGGACTGTGTAATGTTTCAAAGGCCTTTGGTACTGAAACATGTTTGTTGATGCGATGCATTTGATCATATCTGCTTGTGAACAAAGCTGCTCCGGAACAGTTTTAGTCACTTTTTTTTGTTTATACATAAAACCCCAGTATGTTATTAGATAACCTTTCTGACTAGACGTTTCCTAGATCAACTTCACGGTGATCAATAAACTCCTGTAGTTCATGCTCTGTTTCTGCACTTTCATGAACTACACAAGACTATTTTTATACAATCTGGAATATCACACGATCCATATTGTAGGTTTAAATGCTTCCTGTCTTCCATCGATTGTATTAAACACACCAATCATAAAACAAAAGGAAGACCAAAATGAAATATTCATTCAGATTTGATGTTCTCGGGTTACATTGGGTTTATTCAGCTTTATTCTACATATTATTTATTCATGTACAGCTTATTCATCTTTGAGTTTACCTTGCCTTCATGTATGTTTGCCTTTTATCCAAGCTCATTTTAGTTGTGTACATACAGTAAATATTTATAATCAATAAAATTGAAAATGAAATCATTGTATATAAGTGTATAAATTGATTTTAGTCCGATTTTTTTTTTTGCCTGCTTTGTCATTTAAAAATATTTTTCGGTTGATGCTATTGCACCTTTAATAATGAACGGGAGCTGAACTGAATAAAGGAAACATAATAAAACTCTGCATAATTGTTATTTTTTTATGTACTTTGACAATCTCTACGTTGCCAGAACATTATCATTTCACACAACCAAACAAATGCAAACTAGGTTTTCTATTTTCTGAAGAATGTGCGAGTGATGCAAAAGTATATTGCTAGGTAGTGTTTTTTTTTTTTTTGTATGTTGCTAACTGTTTGCCCACTTGCCCAAATTACAAGAGCCTCTCCTTTAGAACGCACATGGTTTAAGGTAAAAGTAAATGGCTCCAAGGCCCCTAAATATTTTAAGGTCCCTTATGTCAGCCAAGAGATTTCCGGTACCTCCTCTATAATAACGATCTGCTTTTGTTTTATTTACATAAACTGTAAACTGTACGTGGCAATGTATTAAAATAATTATAATAAAATATATTAAAATAACAATGTTCTTCAGGGTTGGTTCACAATCTTAGTGATCAATGACTTTTCCAATCATTCGTGAGTACACTGTGAAAAAAATGTTCATGATTTGTAATCACAAAATCTTTTCTTTTGTCAAATCAACTTAGATCATTTATGTGCTTCAGATAACATAATATTTTGAGTTTCTGATGATTAAATTAATCTCCTTCATTGTATCAACTCAATTTTTCAATTTCAATGAACTTAAAATTGTAATTATTTAATTTAAGTTAAACCAACCATATTTTTTTTTACAGTGTAGGGTTGTTATTTTTTTATCATCACAAATATTTTTTTTAAGATTTTACTAATTTGCATAGCTTTTCCAGGTCTACAAATCACACTTTAAAAGTCCACCTCTTAGCAGTTTTTCTAACAATTTGGGAAACCTGGTTCTTCAATAAAAAAATGTTCAGGGAACAAATGAAAATAAGAAATATGATATTGTGGCAAGCAGGACGAGGTTTTTACTTGTGTTTTGTGATTAATTAAGTGTTTAAACGTTCGCTGGTTCCCGCCTCCTCCTTCCCTGATCCTTTAACTTCTCTACAGATATCAGTTTGCATCTTGATTTTAGTTGTTTTAGCTTATTTTTAAAGCTTGTTTTGTTAAATTTGAAGCCATTTCAAGCGCCCACTTGGAAGTGTGCTGAGGCCCCCTGATCATTCATAACTGTAAGAGAAAAGTTATGTCTAAGTACAGCTTACTTTTTCAAATTCTTGTAATCATACAGTTACTGACTTTAAATTACAGTTTCAATCACATATTTCTAAACTAATATACAGGTCCTTCTCAAAAAATTTGCATATCATGAAAAGGGTCTCTAAACGAGCTATTAACCTAATCATCTGAATCAACTAATTAACTCTAAACACCTGCAAAAGATTCCTGAGGCTTTTAAAAACTCCCAGCCTGTTTCATTACTCAAAACCGCAATCATGGGTAAGACTGCCGACCTGACTGCTGTCCAGAAGGCCATCATTGACACCCTCAAGCAAGAGGGTAAGACACAGAAAGAAATTTCTGAACAAATAGGCTGTTCCCAGAGTGCTGTATCGAGGCACCTCAGTGGGAATTTTGGGTTTTCATGAGCTGTATGCCAAAATCATCAGTATTAAAACAATAAAAGACCTGAAATATTTCAGTTGGTGCGCAATGAATCTAAAATATATGAAAGTTTAATTTTTATCATTACATTATGGAAAATAATGAACTTTATCACAATATGCTAATTTTTTTAGAAGGACCTGTATACATGGAAAACATTTGAAAAATGAAATTGCTTTCTGTTCACAGCACAAACACATAGTTTAAACATGCTTCCAAGATCTATAAACAAGTAATTAAAAAAAAAAAAAAAAAAAAAATTCCCTTTTTTATTCAGTAAAATGTTAATTTAACAATTATACTGAAAGGTTGAGAGGAGAAAAATCCGTTTAATATTTGAATTCAGTGCTGCCGCAACTTGTGGCAAAATCCAAAGAAAGTTAGAAAAACTGGAATGAAAGCAATACCATGAAGCAGCCCGAAAGCAATGACTAGCATGACGATGGTGAAGAGCGTCCTGAATATGTAGCTACTTGAAGCTGAAAGTACCACCACACCCACAATTGTAGAAAGAGCCCCTTGAAGTATGGGGTAGCCCAGGTGCGTCAGTGCCTCCACAACTCTCTCGTTCACGTCGGGCTTAGTACTGGACACAAACGTGTAGGAGATGTGAGCGGAGAAGTCCACGGAGAAGCCGATGCTGATGACCAAGTTAATCATGGAGATTGAATCGAGGCTAATGTTTAACAGAGCCATGAAGCCGGTGACTCCCAAAATGACTGAAGCGATGGCGAAGGCCACCCACAAGGCGCAAAGAGGATTCGGAATCAACACAAGAGAGATAGCCAGCATTACTGCGGTCGCCATTGTGATGGTCTGAAGAGTGACATGCCCAATTACAGTGTACTGATCGTGGTATATGAAGGCCGGATGGTAGACCACCAACGGACACGGGCAGCTCTCTGCTGTCTTCCGTAGCGAGTTCAACATGTTCTTCTCCGTGGAGTTCTGAACAATTGTCTGAAGAAACAGGCGTGACGCAACTATGTTGTCATTGGTTATGTTGACATCCTGTTTGAGCATTGGATGGTGGTCCAGAAACTGATACAGAAGTGTTTTAAATGTAGCTTCTGTGCTGATGTTACTTCCGTGTTGCTCTGCATACTTTTCATAGGAATGAAGCCAAGATGTCGACAAGTTCTTGACAGAATCCAGCTCCTGGAATAGCAGAATACAGGACTCAAGTTGATTACGTTCATTCTCCTCCCAATATGGAAATGTGCCGTTGACGGCTAACATTACATTTGGACCATTATAACGAAAGTGTGTCTTCTCGGCCTCATAGTATTGGACGATGTAGGACGTATCAAGTGCTAGGTTCTTGAGATCAATGCCTTCCTTAAGCTGCAGGCAGCCATATACACTAACAGCAATGTAGACTAAGTAGAAAAAAACTACTATTGCTTTACTCCAAATTGTTGTCAAAAATGGGCCATAGTACTTCCTGAAGAACAATGTCATTGGGTGCTCTTCCTCGGTTCCTGTGTCATGGTTGTAAGATCCTCCGACACAGCAGACAGTGTACGCTCTGGACCGTCCTGGTGGGACCTCGTCTGGGACCTTGATGCAAGTCAACCAGTGTCTGTTCGCCCCCTCCCTTCTGCCATTCAGGGCCAGACAAGCTCCAAAGAAAGTGATGTTATAGAAGTAGCAGAATAAGATGGCCGTCCCCGCATACAGACAGAAAGACTGAACGGATCCAAAGGGGTTCCCGTAGCTGAGGTAGAAGGCCAGCACGTCAGTCAGGGTGGTGATAGTAATGGAAATGGCTGCCTCGCGGTAGGTATCAGCCATGCGGTCTGGCACTGTGTCTTGAATGTTGGTTCGTTGCCAGCTGGAAATCATGATAAACATGTCATCGATACCGATTCCTGAAAAACAGTTTCACATCTTGAAATGAAAATGTGTCAATTGTGGAGGATCTGAAATGTGGTGCTTTGAACCGTTTTATCCGATGTGACTTATAGTGAGTGGGGTAAGATGTGCCACCCACTTAAAAGGGGGTAGTTCACCCAATAATGAAAATTCTCTGATTAATTACTCACTCGGAGGGACAGAAAGGTCTCAAATTTCATCAAAAAGATCTTCATTTGTCTTCCGAAGATCAACAAAAGTCTTACGGGTTTGGAACGACACGAGAGTGAGTAATTAATGACAGAACTATCCCTTTAACCCATCACCTTTTTTTGTCACATTACTCACTCTCTTGTCAATCCAAACCTGTAAGACTTTCGTTCATCTTCGGAACACAAATGAAGATCTTTTTAATGAAATTTAAGACTTTCTGTCCCCTCCACTGACAGCTACGCAGCTAAAAAAAAAAAAAAAACTCATCACAGCTGTATGTTCTATGGCATTTCAAATCTATCCAGGTCTCAAAATGTATACAACTCAAAATGGAAGCCTTTGGGTAAAGTGTGCCAGGTGTTTTGGTATACCAGTGGGTCGTCTAATAGTGATAGCGAGCTTCGCCTCCAAATGCAGGACTATTACAAATATTCTAACTAACGTTGTTTCACAGTCAAATAATCTGTTCCATTGTTTGAGTGCAATATACAATAGAACATAAAAAGCAAATAATGTGCACCAAAAATAAGATTACTAAATTGTTATTTCACATATTTTTTACTGAGATGTAATTCATTTATTTACTTATTTCCCCAATTGCTCAACTTCCCCACTGATATGACAGTTTACCTCTAACAAGGGCAAGTCATATTTCTAAGGCCTTATGGTTTAGATGCTTGCACAGTGGCACAACTTACCCCACTATGCCCTGATTTTTATTTATTTATTAGTAGATCCATTACCTGGGAATCAAACTTGCAACCTTGCCATTGCTAACGCCAACTGTAAAGATAATAAACATTGTGGATACATTATCTTACCAAGAATCAGGAATGGAGAAGATGCCACAGTGATAACAAATGGCACATTCATGAGTAACAGCAGCCCGAAGCTGGACAGCACTGCTTGTGCGGTGGAAAAAACTCCAAGAGAAGCCACCCACGCTTTATTCCTCACATTGTCAAACCTGTTGAGTGAAATGAAGCAATGTATAGCTTTTTACAATCAATATAAGACTTTCAATCTATGAAATATATTCATGAAATAAAATACACTGGGTACTACACAAACCTCAGGCAAGATATTATTGAAAATGAGATGGCAAGAAAGTAAGTAATTGCAAAAAGTTCAGTGACAGATAGAGTACTCTTCTCAAACTCCTTTTGTCTTGACATGGAGGTGAAATAGGAGATCTGAGAAGAAAAATTATCATTAGAATAACATTTCATTTAAGTCAAGTCACCTTTATTTATAGCACTTTATACAATACAGATTGTATCAAAGAAGCTTTAGTGATAACAGCAAAAAGATGCAATGAAGTCAGTTCAGTGTTGATTTAGTTTATTTGTATAGATCATCAATTAGTTCATTTAATCTATAAAGCAGTTCTGCAAAAAAATGACGTCATCATCCAGTTCAGTTCTCAGTACAATCAGATCAATAATATTGTTGAATATTAAAGTCACATAGCCTATACTAAAGAATCCTTAAGAATCACAGTATGCGAAACCCCCCCCCAAAATACAAAATTAATGTGTGATTGCCCAAACCAATTGGCATTCATTATTAGGCCTACATTAAAGATAATAAAACAAATATTTCACAAAAACTTTACAGATGCCATTTGATTTTATATGATGCAACGCAATTCATAAGTGTGAAGTGTCTTCTTTTTGGTGCCACTATATATTAAGCACTTCCATGTTACCCAAACCATTTAATGTTCCATAATTGTTCAGTATAATTTTTATTCACTGTCTTTTTAGATTTTACCCATTAATCTTTCATAAAGCCTGTTTGATTATTTAATGGGTATGGTTTGAAATGAATGTATTGGAAAATTCAAAACTGGCAAAAAATTATTAAGACAAACAAATATGGACCACAAAACCATTTAACATGGTACTTACTTCTGTTACAGAGGTCGTTACATTCGAGAGCAAGTCTATCAACTCTTGAAGCCAGACATCTCCCAGTGTATTATTGCTCTCTTTCAGGTAATAGAAAAGTCTCATTGCTTTGGCACTTCGAACAACTCCATTGTGATCCACCTCCACCTTACTGATGACATTTCCCATGTGGAGACATTTGAATTCGGACGGACAGTACTCAGGAAACGTTATGTTGACCAAATGAATGTAGCTGGCATTATAGTGTAGAACATCAAGCATTACATTAGAGTTGCATGTTCCATTCACAGTTGCGCAAATATCAGAGAACACAAACGTCTGTGCGTCGTGCGTTGCGGTGATTCCTCTAACTTGTCCATCGATGCGAATGACCTCCTCTAGTGCGGCAACACTGAGTACGTTTGTCTGACAGGAGAATATCAAAGAGGCAAAAACCCCGTCAGTGTTTAATCGTATAATTGAAAACTGCGAGTCAATTTGTGGAAACGTTTCTTGAAAGAAACGCCTCTCCGCTTTAGCGCGGCCGTTTTTCGGAGTAAACTGCTCGACTATGTCGTTGGACTTCAGGTCGTTCAGAAAGTAAAATCCTCCTCCGAGACCTGCGGACACCGCCAGCGGTAAAGTGACAAACCACCACGGGTGAAGCCCTACGAACTTGCCGAGACTTTCGAAACACATTCGTATGGGCTTTTCAATGCAGTCTGTGATGTAGGACACCATGGCTTCTGAAGAGCTCATCTGCACATCTGGTGTTGAGGAGATACTGGAACACAATATAGGCCTAACATCAAACGAGCAGGTCATGTTTCTCCGGGGAACAGTACATGTAAGAACACAGTGTTCTCTTCAGGCTTTGTCTTTTGTTGTCTTGATAACTATTTCCACTAGAATGACCTCTCAAACCTATAATCAGTATAGGCTGAGCTTCTTCTGAAAGACAATTTTCTGAAGCAGTGATCCAGGTATTCCTCCTGTAAATGTGGAGCAATTTGCTCCCAGTGAAACAATGGACCTCTGAAGTAGCCGACAATGAAAATGGGTAAAGATGCTGAGATCTTCTAAGAGAAATTGCATCTTGAGAATGAGAAATTGTATTCTTAAAAATAGATGTCCTTTGTTGGTTTCAACAAACCTCACAGTACTTGGGCATCTTTTAGGACCTGCACTCTTTCAAAATAAAGTCTCCAAAAGGGCATTTTTACAGCAAAGGCCTAAAATTGGATCATAAGTGGACAACAATAAAGACAGCTATAAACAGGGTCTAAAACTTTTCGAGTTTGTCCACTTTCGACCAGAGGTAGTCGAAATTGCATTCGACCGGATTGCTTTCTTTAGGCCCTGTTTACACCTGGTATTAAGATGCGTTTTGGTCGATCGGATCACAAGTGGACGATGCTAAATACAGGTGTAAATGGGGTCTTAAACGCATTGAGCTTGTCCACTTTCGACCACTTCCAGAGGTAGTCGAAAACGCATTTGAACGGATTGCTTTCGTAGTGTAAACGCTCATGTGATCGAATGCATTCGAACAGCCACAAAATACCATACTCTCTGACCTAACGACATTATGGGAAGTCCGCTATAGCCAGACGGGATTAAACTTTGTCGGCTGGAGACCCAAGTTTGTTTTGAAGACGAAAAACATACCAAGCGCGATGTTCTCTCCATTCCTGATTTCTAACACACTCAAGCGTTCAGCGTGGTCTTGCGTATGAGAACAGAAACGAACGCTGATAAATTTATAGTAAATGCATTTAGTTGAACTTAAGAGTGTTTTTTTGACATAAGTATTTAGGTATTTAAGTATGCAATCTTTATATGAACATTCTTTGAAGGTGTACTAAACATTTATTGCAAACTAAAATTGTAATGTAATTTCTATTGAAAGTTTTATATTTAAACATCTGTAATGATGAAGTTGCAATTGAATATACGTTTAATATATATTTACTTTTAATCTATTATTGAATACGTAAGTACTTTACTATTTACTTTACTACTTTATTTCTTTAAAGCATGAAACATATTATTAAAACATAATTATTTAAATTGTTCTTTAAAGTAAAGCAGTTAATTTGACATTATAACAAAGTGCACTTTTTTCAAAGTGTACTTAAGTGTGTTATGGCAGTCATGAAAGTTTACTCTATATTTAAATACACTTTAGTGGCCTTTAATTTCATTGATATTATATTATCTTCAAGTACAGTTTTTTAAACTTATACTTGAGATTGGAAGTAGGCTACAGTACAAGTGCACACATTTAGCACACTTATTTTTCACAAGTTTTAACACAGACACACACACATCACAAAACATTTAGAAATCTATTATTATAATCAGTATGAAACTTCTGAATTAAAAACTATTTCCAATGGGCTAACCAGTATTTTTCAATAGTCATTTATCTCACCTTGTGGCGTATGCAGTGCTTTATTATTGGTAACAAACCAGTATTGTTAAGAATTTAGGATTTATTTTGTCAGTAGCCTATACATTACTCATGATTAGTTATTCCATTTCCAGCACAGTATTTGTAGGACTAAAGTATGAAATTGTGAATAAAAAACAATAACTTTATAACGGGGTGCACCATAGTCTATTTTAAAGTCTATGTATGTTGTGCAATACTTTTTTGATAGGCATGAGTCAAAGACTGCTGTTATAGAGAATTTGGGATTTATTTTGTCAGTGAATTCCTCATGATTAGTTATTCCACTTCATATCTCTTATATTTAAACACCATTTATGACATCAGAACTAAAAGTAGCCCAGCCTCAGTTAGTGTCCTCAGTAAAATGTTATTTCAACAGTTTTGCTTGGACTTCTTACGTAACATCAAACTCGATCCCCGTGACGTCACGCCCCAGTCGGAAGTTCCAGCGCACCAGTAACAGTGAACGCGTCGCGAGTTAAACCAGGTTTAGTGTAAACAGCCACAACATGGACGACGACGTGTTAACGACTCTAAAGATTTTAATAATCGGAGAGAGTGGTGTCGGTAAATCAAGGTGAGGTCTGAATGTGCTGTTTTTTTGTGATGTTTATTCTTGTCCGTCCAGTAGGATGAGTTGTTAAATAGCGCTAGCCTCGTCTGAACGAGCAACAAGCGTCGCTAAACTCTGACTGCCCGTCTACTGTGCCCAGACTCTGCCAATTTAATTCAGCCGTTAAACTTTACCCGTAAATGCTGTTTTTGACTCAAGAACAGAAGGAAAAGTGGCACCGTGTCCCCTTCGTGGTATTTTGAGATGTTATGTTGATTTCTTTCTAAGCTAAATTGCTAGCATTACAACATTAAAGCATATGTATTTAATTTTTTTGACGTTTTAAAACACGCTGGTAAGTTAATGAATACCTCGTATACTGTTACTGTTGTTGTCGTCGCATCCCTTTAAATATTTAATAAAAGGAGAGCAGCAGTGTTAGCTGGCAGCTGTTCCTGTAGCAGTCATGCTATATGCTCGTTTTGTGCCAGTAACCATTAGAAATACATAAAAGGCCTTAGACTGAGTTTAAATAGAGGGGTCAAACACTTGCTGTGTGAACAGATGGCACTTTAAACATGTCTAGTTATGGTGGACAAAGTGACTTGGCTAAATTGGTGACCAAAGTAAACGAACATGTCCAAAGGGAAAGTAAATTTCCTCTTCGTTATTGTCATGTTTTCAAGAAAAGAAAATTAAGTTTGATAAGAAACCAATAATATGAGACGCATATATGTAATACTTAATTACAATAATTATTTGTCATCTTAATGCTAATTTGCTTCTATGTGTCCTTTCTGTCCACAGTTTGCTCCTGCGCTTCACCGATGACACCTTCGACCCAGAATTAGCTGCAACCATTGGTGAGTCACACATGAGTGCTTGTGAATATTACAGATAATAACCACACATTGTTAACATGCCTGTAATCAGTTAATGCTCAAAACGAATGAGCTTACAAACGAAATCTTACTAAGTCTTGTTAGAATATTTAGTTTTACCTCCACAACTAATGTAATTTAATCCTTGTGAAAATAGAGCGTACTTTAAAGTTAAACGGATCGTGGTTGATCCGTACGGTCCAGGCCCCACGGTTCGGCACGCATGTGATTCGCGGATTACTTAAAGTAAAGTTTAAAGGCCCACTGAAGTGCCTTGAAAACTCACAGCATTATTCAATGTTGATGTCATTTCCACTGAAACAGGAAGATAGGGCGGGACATATGGAACAGCTCCTCCCCCTTTTTAAAATAAAGCCAATAGAGTTTAGTTTATATCACAGGTAAAGCCTCAGTTCCTTTCTAATCTTTAACCGTTTCTCCTCCATATCGGTTTAAAATATAGTATCCTGTGTCTCTGGACCGGAGCAGACTTCATTTGCCCCAATGGAAAGCATATTTACACAGTCTGAATCTTTTCATATCCCCAATATAGTCCACTAATTGTTCACCATGTAATAAGTGCAATAAGTTCAGCATGTAGTAAATGTGTGAACAAGTGACCGATTTCAGCCGCAGCTTCAGCGTCTATTTATAATGTAAGGGGCAGAGCTTCAGATTCTGGAGAGTATTTGATTGGACAGAAAATCTGATGAGAAGCTGAAGTGCAGAGTGATGTCATCAAAATTGTCGATCCATATTGGCGTAAGTGAGAGACTGAGTTTTGAACGATTTTATCTCCTAAATGCGAAGTTTGTCATTGTTTTGGAGCACACTAGCTTATAGATAACCGTAAGGCTAACATTTTCATATTAAAAGCCGATTTTGATTTCATGGGGACTTTCACTTTATTATTTGTGTTTTGTCTTGCCAATTTACACACATTCTCGCGAAATAATGTCAAAATTCCCGTCTCGTCAAGTATTCTCATGAACACAGTGGGTTAAGTTTTAAGTGAACGTAAAAATGGTTCGGATGTGCATCATTATAGAGGGTATGCATTGACGTCACTTTCCCGCGGGAACACGACCCCTCAGCCGGACTGAGTGGCAGACGAGCTGCTGCGTGACTGGATTTAATAGGGGAAACTGCGGAAACGAGAGTAAAACAAACAATAGTTGGACTCGATATAAGTGTTCCTTTCAACTTACCAAAGATCCAGTGATCCATGGATATTGACATGCAGCCATCGTGTTTCCTGAAATTTATATGATTTTGACGCCGGGGAAATATGTGAAGCAAATTTGCCTGTGAACGCTTTATATAAATACAATATAGTTAGGTCTAAATCCGGGTGATCACTCATATCAGTATTATATATAGGCTATCATCATATCGTCCAGCCCTAAAACTTGTAGCCGATAGTTTTTTGTCAGTTCACTTAAAAAGATATGATTATGCGTAATAAGCCAATGTGGTCATGTAAACGCAGAAACCCGTTTTCTTTTATCGGAGTAGGGTCATAAACGGGTTAAGCATAAACCGGTCGACACAGGTAGTTTTTTTGCCTCTTACTCCGATTTCGCGTGGTATGTAAACGCATTAACCTGCTTATTGAAGTGCGGATGTGTGAAATGTGACAGGAACGCATCCTTAGTGCAGATTTAAAGGGTTAGTTCACCCAAAAATGAAAATTCTGTCAGTATTAACTCACCCTCATGTTGTTCCAACCCCGTAAGACTTTCGCTCATCTTCGGAACATGAATTAAGATATTTTTGATGAAATCTGAGAGCTGGATCACTCCTCCATACTAGTCCATAGGCTTCTTCAGGGATTGAACTTGCCGGCCTCGAAAAGTTAT